TTTTTTTATTTTCATGTGATTTCTTCGAGTATTGTAGTTCGGCTATATACTATTCTTGCTTTTCTTCAGCTTTTATTTGCTGTATGCGTTCGATCCTCTTTCAGCTGTATCCTGGAATATTCATTGGACTGAAATTTTGACAATTACTATAGTTAGTTCTATGCTCATCGAGGATATTCGACAGACTAGTAACGTCACATTCAAACACAATTGTAAAAAAAATAAGACAACTTCATTTTCTAGTTCTTCTTCCAAGACAATCGATCTTTGAAAGGAAAATTACTAAGCTATTTTGATTTGCATAATCGATTTTCTAATTTGTGTCTGATTTTATCGGCTTATATCTTATTCTATATTGGACTGCTACTACGTTTCGTGTTAAAAGATCCGACAAACTTTTCAGCTGCAAGGTAAATTTCATTTAGTATTCATGATATTCAATTAGACTGATCGTATTAAAAAGGATTATAATGGCTTATAATCTAGAGCTATGGTTCATTAGATCACTTCTTTCTATTGGCATAGCTCCGAATCTCGATCCGAAATTAGTGATGATCTGAAAGATGGTAAATAAATAATATCAACTATAGAGGCATTAGTGATGTTTTATCTTTTAGACGAACGATTTATTGTTTTTCATATTTCTTATGATTATTGTCATTTTTGGGTATGGAATTGCATCAAGAGCCATGATAGCCTATGGTACTTTCGATTTCGATGGAAGACAATTTTTTCGCAATGTTGTATATTCAGTTCATTATTTTATGCTGGGTAATTTTGATAATGAAGTTGAATCATTTGAAGGTAAAATTTGTATCGATCAATTGGGCACTGTCTATGTGGCTGATACTTCGAATCATCGAATAATGCGTTGGCCCAAAGGAGCCACACAAGGAAGTGTGATTGCTGGTGGAAATGGTGCAGGACGACAGTCAAATCAATTAACATCCCCCGTTGGTTTATCATTCGATCGACATGGTAATCTCTATGTTGTCGATTACGAAAATGATCGAGTACAAAAATTTAATATCGAACAGACAGCAAATTAATGATGTTTATTTGTTTGTTGTGTGATTGAAAATGAATTGCATTGAAGAAAAAGAAAACGATATTCGCGATTAATCAATAAATTCTATTAGATATTCGGGCGCGCGACCAGGAACCATCCTGGTGGGGGTGTTAATGTAAAGAAACGGAAGACATAAACCACACCCACAGCCACACCCTACATCCCACACCCACACTCACCACAATATGCATCCGCATACAAAGGATTAAAGGTCCAATTTTGAGCGCTTTTGGATTTTTATTAAGTAAGGGTGAACAAGCAGTTTTTAAAGGAACGATCAAGACTTTTCGATTATCCTGTAACCTGCATCTATCATGATCATCTTTTTGACCAGCTAGTTCCTCACTTGGTATTTGTTTACCTAATCTTCAATATCTTCATCTAGAATGTTCTATCAATAATCAATTTTGGCTAGGAATTTCAAATCTAAATTAACTAAAAATTCTTTCAATATCATTACATGCTGATATTTTTCAATCTCAAATGAAAAAGTTATTCAATCAAACACCTCATTTAATTACATGAGTTACATGA